TATATAATAATATGTATTACATTGTATATAAAAAAGAAAGTGTGCGAAGAAATCAAATACTGTACTTACAAACCAAGTCTCTTAGAGCTAGAGAATTCATTCCCTTTCTAGAAAACTCACAGAAAAGGTCATGATGAAAAACAACTTTCATTGAAGTGTTCTTTTTTCCCCAAAAATATCCATCATAATAAGTTGAGAACCCTAACTTCCAAATTCACAAAATCAGTTCTGCGTGTATGACCACCAGCCGCATTGATGATGGACTGACACCTCGACGTACGGAAAAGAAAAGCTGTTGGATAAACTGCAGGGGGATCTGTACCCAGATTCTCACATCAAGCGATAGCTCAATTTCATCTAACGTTCTAACGTTCGGGGCTGGTTTGGTTACAACGCATTGTAGTATCTATCTTCTCACCTCAGCCCACATATATTCTGTTGGGCTGGGGAGAATCTGGTGATACAGCTAGCCACTCTAGGACATTAAGGCCATTGTTTTGGACTTGTTCCGTCACAATCGGTCAATTTTCTCTCTAGTGTTGTCTTTTTGAAAGAAAATTGGTGTATGTCTAAAGAAAGGGTACCACATGTCGGTCGACCCACTGGCGGGGATGGATGTGACAAACACCAAACGCCTTTTTTTCAGGAAAACCTTTTACCCCTTCTTTGGTACCTCTCTGTCGCGGTGACCTGTGGAGAGTTCCCCAAACAGTCATAGGGGATATTTGGTAGACACTGGTCCTCCATTCTGAAGCAGAAGACGTACCCTGCCCAGAGTAGCTGAGACTTCATAATCCATAAGACTGGCCTCAATGCTGGTAATCTCTGCCTGTTTATGGACTGCAACACTGGTGACCAAATCACCCCAACTGATATTGAGGATGGTGCGGAGACAGCGCTTATGGAAGCGCTAGAGAAGACGCAGATGATAGCGATAGTTGGTCGCTCTGAAGGACAAACGGGCAAACCCAGATTTTGGGGGTTTCCAGAAATTTTGACCTACACCAAAAGTGGGCATTGCCGTACCCATAGACAAAGTTTGGCTTTATTGGCGTGTAAATTTGGTTAGTTATAGAGAATAGTCTCCTTGTCTTAAAAGGAAAAACAAAACAAACAATTGTCCAATAACTTTACCTTCCATTTTCTCAAAAAACAGCATTTTTCGGGATAGTGTCACGTAAATTGTTGGCCGATATGTATGAATACTGGGATCGTCAGTAAATGAAAATGTCAAACATAATGTCCTCAAATGTACAGGTCACATGGCGCTTGGTAAGAGTAAGACCACGAGTTTTAGTAGAAGTCATGAAGCATTAGGATTGCCAGAACCTGAAGCAGTGTGGAAATGTATTACAAGCTTCATCAAGACGGTACAGTCTTATTCTTAGTGGGGAATTAAACAGTATAAGCCAAGCTGTACCGTGGTGCCTTGACGGAAATGGTAACATTCAATATAAGGCAGTACATTTATTTGCACAGGCGGCAATTTGCATTTGAGA